ATTTTTTTGAATAATTCTCAATGTCAAAGAAGAATCCTTTATTTTTATATTTAATGTTAATTGTAATACATTTTCAAGTGTTATTGTATATCAACAACCAATTATATATTTTTTTAAATAATTCTCAATGTCAAAGAAGAATTTTTATATTTAATTGTATGTAATTTTTAATTTGAATCCTAATTAATTTTCAGGTGGTATAAAGAATCAATTTTATATTTTTTGAAAAATTCTCAATGCGAAAAAAATACTTATTTTTATATTTAATTTTATATAATTTTTAATTTTAATTGTAATTAATGTTATTATTTTTTAAGAGCACAATTATTTTATAATAAGAAACAATGAAAATATACAGAACTTTTACTTTACACAATTATATTTCATACTGTGTCCTAATTTTTTTAAAACTCTTTAAAGAAACGGTTGATTTAAAACTAAAAAGGTTTATTTTGAAGTTAAAAATGATTAGTTTGAAATTAATAAAGGTTATTTTGAATTAAAATGTGTTAATTGACGTGAAAAAGCTATATTTTCAAGTTTCCTTCACCGTGTGACTGTAAGTCTTTCTGTTATCCATGTGTTTGCAACTGGACTGCTTAATTCCACCATTTTTATTGTGGGGGTGTTCTTTTAGAATTGTGTTTTCTTACGACCGGTTTTAAGTGCGAGGGTGTCCTCCGTTTGACCTCTCTCAGACTCAGAGATGAATTCTGCTCGTCAACAGCCTTCAATTATCTAGTGACAGACGTACGCATTCGAGACGTGCCGGGACCTATTTATTAAACCGGAAGGCCTTTCGTACTATTTTCAACTTATGTTCCATTCCTTACGACGGTTAAAGGACAGAAAAAGCAATAGATATTAAAATGAGTAGCCTGTATCAAATTTTATCGATTTGGACAGTCAGACTTGGTATAATAAAGCCTCTTTGAAAATCTAAGCCCTAGCCGGTTATTAAATTTAAAACAATAACTAAATATACCGGGGCGAGGAAGATTTTACGATTTAATTAACCCATCAAAAAGATCTCGAGGGCGGGGGAGCCTTGAATTGCGTTTGCCAGAGGGAAGGGAAGATGTGATAAAGGGATGTGCTGAAATGGAGGTAACGGTATTTGAGGTTCTGTCAATAGTGGAATAGTTGGTTGGGGAGAAACAATTCCAGGCATCCGATGTTGACTCAACCAAACATTTCTAGACAGGGGTCCTCTCAAATCCCCCATCCGATCCACGCGAGAGAGAAGCGTTCACTATACCTATATCTCGTGCTGTTTTCAGAAATTGAGGATATCGTCCTCCTTTGTGTCCTTGTTTATAACAACATTCGAGCGCTTCAAAGAAGAGGAGAGAAGGCGAAAAAAAAGTCGGTGGTTGGAATATTCTGTAAATTCTGCATTACACTCCGACCGATGCCGTGCGATATCGGGCGAGTAGAACTGAAATCGAAAAGAAAGGAGCTGCCATTCAATCTGCATGGATCGTCGTGCGATGCAGTGCGATATTGCGGTGATTATGCGTTAAATCGGAGCGTCGTGAATATGGAACAATTAGTTTTTAACTTAAAAAAAAAATGGTTTCAAGTTTGGAAAAAAGGATCTTCGATGAGGTCACAACAGAACGACAATTCTGTAAGTTTTTCCCGAGCTTTCGACGATTATATCGTCCATCATCAGGCATATTTATTTTAGGAAAATATCGCAGTTAGAACATGTTATATCATTTTAAAAAACTAAATTAAAAAACAATTATTTTTCTTACTTTAATTCGATGAATGTTCAAATATACCTTGAGAACAAGAAATTGCATTTACAATAAGATTCAACACTCATCGAGCTAAGTAAGAAAAATAATTGTTTTTAATTTTGTTTTTTTAAATGATATAACATGTTCTAATTCCGATATTTTCCTAAAATAAATAGGCTCTGATAATGACAATATAATAGTCGAAAGCTCGGCAAAAACAAAAAAAAATTTCGTTCTGTTGTGACTCACAGAAGATCCTTTTTTTTCCAAGTTGTTCAACAGCAGGTCGATACATCATCTCATCATTGATTTCAAGTTTATTTGCATAAAATAATTGATTGCCGCAATTTAATAGTTATCTCGTAGCATTTAAACATTGTGTACGGGTTTCTATATCAAAATAATTTCCCAGGTTTTGAATTTTTATTCAAAAATTTCAGTTAAAAATTAAGAAGAAATTAATCCGTATTTGGTTAGTGGTCATAATTGACCATATTAATTAGTCTTTTTATCTAAGGTTTTTGGTTGAGATGAAAAATTAGTGTCATGAGCGGGATTCGAACCCACGAACTGTTCTAACCACTTGATCTATCGTGACATCTATACCCTCGGGCACAAACTCCCCATCACAGATAAAAAGAATAATTAATTGGAATAATTAATATGGTCAATTATGACCATTAAGCAAATATGGATTAATTTAATAATTAAAAGAAATAATTACTTCACTAACAGCTCCCCGTGGCCGTTTCATAAGTCGCTGAGAATCGAATCCTGATTACACATTTGAAAATATGGCAAAACGAGGGACAATTCGAACGGTCGAAGGTTGAGGGGATCGAAGTCACAATCGCTCAAGTGGTTAGAGCAACGGCAAATTGAGCCGAAGGTCGTGGGTTCGAATCCGGCTCGTAATTTTTCATCTCAACCAAAACCCTAAGATAAAAAGACAGACTAATTGGAATAATTAAGAAAAAAAACTGTTTATGGCATGACGCGAAAGATTGCGAGTATTGTTCAATAGGCGTTGCGTCGCAGCCTGACACATCGCAAAAAGGGGCTTTTTTCCGATAAAAGGGGAAATTGCGCCTCCTTTGCTAAGGCGGTGTAGGATCTGATTGCCCTCCTCACTTCCTTCCGTACAGATCGCCCGATTCAGAGTTATTTTGCTCTTTGATCCTTAAGATTTAAAAAGTCGAGAAAGACGAGGGGGCTGTATAGAAAAATCCAACTCTTGTTATTTTAAGTTAATTTAAAAAGAACTAAAGCAAGATTTTTACATTTCCTTACTTTTACAATAATACAGCATAATGGTAGTACAAAAAAAAATTGTGCCGTGTATTTCTTTGTACAATTATGTACAGCTGAAACTATTATGTGGCTTCCTAATTAAATGATTCGTGGGATTTCCTTCTGTGGTCTGTGGTGTTATAAACACATAATTTGGTTCTTGATCTGTCAGACGTATTTCATCATTTTGCCATCTACAGTGAGTCTGAACTAATACAGGCTGTATTTAGTAGTTACAGATTTTATTGGTCTGTCCTTCACTCGGTTGGTCTGTCAGCCGCATTTCGGCATTTTACCATATTTATCTTCAGTGTGTCTGAACTAGAGGCGTAACCTATCGAATTAATTATTCGTTTTGTGGTATTCAAACATATCTGACCTCTGGATTGCTATCACGTTTAAGTCCGCGATGCGAAAATTTGGGTACTCAACAACACCCGTAGGCCGAAACAACCTTTTTTGTGAAATTTCAAACAGGCTCAAAAAAGAACCTAATACCCGGTGGATTATGTTAAAGAGCCATGCTCGGTGGAACCAAGTCCTAAGAGGTAGGCGAAAAACTCGCCTACAGTTACGCCTAGATGTTATGGGTCGTATTGGGTTCCTGGTCGACATAAAAAGCAGTAATTAATATTCAACGTAAATTTTGTAGAGAAAAGATCGGTAAAGATGTTTCAGATCGCATGAGACCCAAAAGATTTGCGATTCCAGCTTCTACTAGCGCGATATCGCACTGCATCGCTCGAAAACAGGTCACACGATGATCCATGTAACGTCAATGGCAGCTACTTTCTTTTCGGTTTTTGCTTCTTCTTGCGCGATATGGCCCGGCTTAGCTTGAATTGTAAACAGGTCGCATGGTGTTACATGCAACGTCCATTGCAGCTCATTTCTTTGCAATTTCAGCTTCTCCTAGCGCGATATTGCTTGAAGTGTAAATACGTCGCATGCTGATCCATGCAAAGTCAATGGCAGCTGCTTTCTGTACGATTTCCTCTTCTATTCGCGCGCCATTACATCCCAGACAGTATAAATGGCTCCTTAATCAGAACCCAAATGAACTAAATGATGTACCTTCGTACAATAAGGTTAATAAAAAGGCTGCCTTTTTATGATTAGTTCATTTAATCATACTTAAAATATTTATTTACCTATCCGGTTATAATTTTTCTGGGAATGCATGACAAAAAGATTATTAGTTACAACTACTGATACAGCTGACAGTATTATTCGAAGAATAATACATTAAAATGCTTGTAATTTGATATTGTAAGCTTCCTTTTGATTAAATAATCCGGCCATTAATAGTACTAAGTTTTCAATTTAGGAGTTTAAGGGGGAACGAATGCCTTTTGTGTTTCTATTTGATTTCAAAAAAGGTAATTGTGGGGGTAGGCAACCGGCACCCTAAAAGGTGTAACATCAAACGTTCAAATCTTATTGTCACTGCCTTATTGGCCCTACTCTTCCACCCCTTTTATTTCCCTAAAAGAGGAACAAGTAGATTCAATCCCTTCGAACACAAAACCCGCAGGAGCATTCGTTTAAACGGATTACTTTTCCCGAACCAGCCCCCCCCCCCTACGATCTTTAAAGCTCCAGTTTAATGATTTCAATGATTACAATAAGGGATGAGATTTTCACATCAGGAAAAAGATGTGTTTATTATTTTTAACGACAATGATAGTTTATAGTTGGTACTTGGTGTTTCGAAATTGTATGTTAGTCTGTTTTATTTTTCGGCCACGGGACTGTTGCAGTATGAAAATTAAATGGATGAATAATTAACAAGTCTAGTAATCAAAATCAAAAAGAAAACTGTCTCTACGCAATGACTAAATAACTCAAACCTGCAATGATTTAAGGCATCCAGACAAATGAGGCTTCTACAGGTCATGAGTAAGTTTTGAAAATATTCCAAGGTACCAAAGAGGAACAGCATATGTCGAGTTTTTTCCCACTTACCGTACATCTTTCCTTCGTCGCTGAGGATGATTTTGCGACGGCCACAGGGCGGGTAGATGGCGAGTGCTTCCTGGAAGCTCTGCTCGATGTCCGGGGACCAGACGCCCTCGGCGTCGGCCGCTGCCAGCTCTTTGTCATCCTCGCAGTCGGCCACCTCCAACGTGCTTTTGTCCGAGCCTGGGCCGGCCTCGGCCACAGGCCCTCCGCCCCACGAGCCGCTAATTCTGTCCGAGCCCACCCACAACCTGAAACAAACAGATACAGTTAGAAAGAATCGCACAAAACACAACCTGTAAAAAAAATACCAGTCAATAAATCGTGAGATGGGATAAACGGACAGAACTATCTTACGTCATTTAATAATAAAACTATGTCACTTCTAACTGTGTATCATTATCACATGTAATAATTAAAATTCCGTGATGCACTTCCGTAACACAGTGCAGGCGATGCACCGTGCACGTTCACGGTTACCGCTGATCATCGCGTGAGGCCGCAACACTAGAGGTCAAACTGCAGATTTGCCTTTGATTTTTTTTCCGCCGATCTCTATTTTTACTTTTACTGTTGTAAATATAATCTATATTTTCTATAAAAAGACTCTTTTTGTGTTTACACTACCGTGACTATAGTGCCTAGGCTATGAGCATTCGAAGTAGTCTTATTCAGTCAGTTATATACTTTATTGTGAATTTTCTCCGTGCTGTCTCCGGGGTGAGGATAGTTTGGTCGTTATCGTTCCTCGAGGGATATGGCTGTTATGAACTGAATAATTCCAGCTTCTTAACCCCAGAGTGCCAGTGTGCCCCCACACAAAGGGGATGTTGGATGATAAGAACTATTTCGAGCTTGGCAACTTATGTTGTAATATTGAGACACGAGACATAGAGGGGACCCTTAGACTTAGGCCTCTTTTAGACGAGGCAACTAGTTGATTCAACTAGTTCAACAGACGTGTGTCGAGGAGTATAACGTGGTAGCAAAATGTTTGGGAATCGCCCCAACACGTTCACACGCAGTCAACTCGTCCGCCCAGGCGTTCTGATGACGTTCTCATCCCCACTGATTGACTCAACTGAAGACACTCGACATTCGTCCTTCACACCAGTCGCCTCGTTGAGACAACTGAGTTCACCGTGCAAAGCGTTGCAATTGCATGCTTCAAGTGTGGAGCAGTTCATTGAAGATGTTCGTATTAGTCCCGTGATATGGGACATGAGGTGTGAGGAGTATAATGATAAAATTAAAAGAAGCTAATCTTGGAGGGAAGTAGCACAACAGTATTTGAGAGAAAGCGTCCGTTTCCCAATTTTATAACAACGGATAAACCCATACTTTTCTTTACTGGGTTTCCTCCTTTTTTCTTCTCTTTTTGCAGAAGACATGTACTGTCCTCCTGTTGGGAAGAGAGGTTAATTCCACAAGTTGATTGGTGTGAAATAAACCGTGTGTCTTCACACGGCAGTAAAATGGTTGAGAGTCAACCGGGCAACATAGTTGAATCTACCAAACCGCCTTACTGTTATGACAATCGGATGGGGCCAACCTCCGAAAGCAACTACACGACGAGTCGTAAACCGTAACTTCTTCCTGCTTCAAGCACGTCGGTTCTCGCAAGGAAATGGTATCGTAATGGCTGACCGGTCAGAACGTTACTCCTAGCACGCTTGGAGGTTGCTAGGTCATTGCTCATGCCAACCTCCTGCGTATGATGACGTCCCTTGCTCTTGAGAGTAGGTTGTCAGGTACTGTGCGGAGGGCCAGGAGGTGTATCTGCACTCCATGTGCATCTTTGTGGCACATTCGGAATATTAGGAGCACGCAGCGTACCAGGCGCAGAGTATAGACGCATCATTCAAGTGCAGGGTCGGAAAGTTGTTCACTATGAACTTTGATGAACAGACCGAGTACTTCGAAAGATCACGCCTTTCTCACTATTGGGATTGGGTGGTTTTGTTTGGATGTACCCAGTACTCAATCCTCTTTAGTGTATGGTTTGTAATTGTGATGTCTTGGCAGTCTCGCAGCCGAATATTTTGTGTTCCCAAGTCTTATTCTTTGTAATGATAAAAAGAACAAAAGGTTACAAGATAATGTAACAACACCAAATCACAGAAATACATAGACGTATTTAGATAGGATAAATACGCAACACGGAGAGTCGGTTTTAGATACTGACCAAACAGAGAAAAAAGGCGGAACGTAAATTAAAACTTTTTTCACGAATAATTTTAAACTTAAAATTTACCAGGGATGTGGCAAAAGGGTTGCGCAATCGGATGATAGAAGGTCTTCTATTTATACCCTATTAATTATGTTTAAACTACAAGTTTAGTCGAGGAGGCCTTGAATGTAAGTAGTACTTAAAACCGTATAAAATAAATAAAGGTTACACTTAAATAATCTAGAATCCTTTTAACATCCTAAGCCGCTGATTATTTTTATATCCATTGGATGCTCTCATAGGTCAGTTTAATAAACAATAAGTCGTGAAAATAAATATTTTACCTAGGGTTAACACAACTAAACAATGATATAAAATTGTACTAATCGTTATTATCGATTTTTTATGATACAATGTTGGCTGTCCGGCTGGATGTTTTCTAAGATTACTGACGATGTCGGCACCCGGCCAAATATTGGAGGATACTCGTGTAATGAGTAGGAAAGTGATTTTTAAATCGGCCGAATTAGCAAAGTCAGAACATTACTAGACCGCAAAAAACGGTTTTGTATGAAGAGAAGTACAGCAGTGCCACCGCGTTGTAAATGTTATTTCTGCCTCCCTAGAGTTGATACAGTATGTTCGGGCGATTTCCTTGATGTGGCCCAGGCTTTTGAGTTTGGCCTTTGATCAAGGGACCTACTACCTTATCATTCGTAACCACCTTACTGACCGGTACTTCCGCGACATAAACGGGGCGGCGTCATCCCTAAACTACTCTATCCTTGCGGATACCTCAGGGTAGTATTCTGGACGCCATACTGCACCAGTATACATCCTATCCTGACACCTCCACACTAACTTTTCAAGACGATACAGCGATCCTTTCAAGCAACTGCTGTCCACTACAAACACAGAAACACACTGGAGTCATGGAGTAAAAAAAGAATAAAATTTAACCCTTAATCCAGAAAAATTCATTCACATAACCTTCACTCTCCGCAAAAAGATATGCCCTCCGGTCTACTTCAGACAAATAACCCTTCCAACTGCGGACAAGTTGCTGTTCCTAGGACTGTATATTGACAAATGTCTGACGTGGAATTCTAACACTACTTAAACGACAAGAATTTATGAAACGTTATAGACTTCTTTCACGAGTTCTTGATAAACCACACTTAAACAAAAGGCTGCTTTATTGTATAGCCGATATGGACTTACGGACTGGAAGTGCTGGGTTCAACCAAACATTCCAATGTCCTCCGAATCCAAAGAACCCAATCCATAATCCTCAGAAAATTTTTTCATTCTACCTTTTATGTATCCAACGAAACAACCCATACCTAAATATTCCTTTTGCCCAAAATGAAATCCATTCCCGTTATCCCCAATTTCATACAAATCTCGCAACTACCATAAATCCTCAAATACAAAACCCTCATCCAGATAAATTTACTCCAACTCTCCTCACCGACTAAAAAACACTACAACCGCTGGATTTTGTTTCCAGTGATGGTGAAACTTTTTTTTTTAACTTAAAATTTTGTAACCTTATTTATATTATGCAATGAGCTGGATTTACAAATTAGAGGTCATGTGACGTGAAGGGAGTTAACAACCAATGTTGTTCAATGTTTCAGACCTCTCGTAGATTATAAGGTGGTTTCTATCGGATAAGGCTTGGGCAACTCGATTGAGGTGAGAGAATTTATTGTAGAATGTGGAGAATGTTTTGGGGGTTATTCTTTGCACGAGGGATTTTGAGATCTTTATGAAGGGTGATGGTGTTTGAGACGTAGTAAGTAGCATTTACAGCACGTAGATTGTCAATTGTTTTTTTGTTGAAACGTTACGATTTGCGTGTCTGTAGTCTGTGGAGTAGTCCGAAACGTTAATTCCTGTCGTGTGTATTGGTTCCTGGTTAGCCTTCAGTCTAGATGGAACCCAAGGTAGCGGACGCTGTTTGTTTTTGGAATGGGAGTATTATTGGGGATTATTGTATGAAGTGTTTTGCTTCGAAGGGTGAATGATACACTCGTGCTTTTGCTTTCATTAAGCTTATATTACATGACAGTGTTTGCTCCATTCGGCTATTTGCAGGGCGTGTTGTGGAACTCCTCCGAATCAACTGTTGGTTCGGGATGAGAGGTGTGTCGTCGGCAAAGGATGTAAGGAGGTTGAAGTTGGGATATGCGGTGCAGAGGAGGTCTGCAGGTCCCCTAAAGTACGACCCTTAAGCCAGAAATACACTTACCCGATGCTACGCCATGCGACGCTACCCGATGCTACCCGACGCAAATCAAAACTCCGATTTTCCATAAGGTTGCATTATCCCGTGCACATCTACCCGATGCTATGCCACTACCCGACGCTCTGCGATCCCCACTGTCCAGATTTTCGTCGGGTCTTCTGGCTCTTGAGTTTCGTGTCAGTTCTATATAGTTCGATTAAATCGGTTTGCTTTGTTATCTGCTGATAACACACTCAGGTTGGTGATTTAAAATATGTCTTTGTTTCCTAATGAACATGTTGCGGTTATGTATTTAATTCACGGTTACGCAACAGTAAAACGGGGAACACACTTACTTGATGCTACCCGATGCAAATACAAAGTTCAATTTTCCATAAGATTCTATTACCCCTGTGCACATTTGCCCGATGCCTCGCAACGCTACCCTACTCTACGCTATGCGATCGCCACTGTCCAGATTTTCGTCGGGTAGCATCGAGTACAGTCGAAGACAAAAGAACCGGACACTCACATTTTTATTCAAACTACATGTATTATTGTCGTTATATTAATTACAACATACTTATTTTAATATAAACCAAATTAACTGTGATTAAAAATTAATTAGTTTTTATTTAAAAAATTAATTTTATGGTTTGGTAGAAATAATCAAAACACCGGAATACGATTTTTTGATATAATGAATTTAACTAACAATTTATTGTACTCGCTTCGGCGGTACATATACTAAAATTGGAACAATTTATTACACGGTTTTGCTCATAAAATTTAATTAACAATTTATTTCATAGTTTTGCTCGTAAAATTACACCATTTTATAATGTCGGGTA